AAAAATGAATAATGAGACAGCACGCAACGGTACTGCGACTGCTCCGCGGGGGGCTCGTGTTTCTCTTTTTTTTTTGTTTTTTTTTTGGGGGGGGGGGGGGGGGGGGGGGGGCGCGGGGGGTGTTTAAAAAAACATTATCATATGTTTCCCCCTTCTTATCGTCCGTTTCTTTTTATTTTTATTTTTTTATTTTTATACATTTATCCCATTTGCTTATCAAGCAGACGGGATAAATGTATAGAATGTCCCGCTCCCCCGCCCCTCTATGGTGGGAATTTCAATTATTATTATAAATTCGACGATACAATAATACTTAAGCCGGTAATAAGAATATTATAATAAATACGATGATGCAATAATAAATTTCATCGAACACGAATTTCGAATGTAAACTTTATTCATCAGACGTCATTAAACATAAATTTCATATGTAATCTATGCAGTATACGACTGGGAATTAGATGCACTATGCTGGTACGGGCAGAAGGAGGTGTTCAACCGTTAGATTGTACATGCTTATTCTCTCTATTAGCTATGATAGTCATATGCCTAATCTGGTATCCGTAGAGTGCTCGAGCATGTAGCCAGTGTCTGCGTATGAAATTCTGAACTAGGTATTTGTACAACCAACGCCTATGCCCCCACATCGGTTGAAGGGGGTCCAATCTGCATTTATTATCGCCATCGCGTGATCGCCTGTTCTCTCTCTATGATTCACACATTATCTGCGCTCGTGCGCGCTAGAGTCGAAACTGGAAACACAGAATCCATGCCACAATCTGCATTTATTATAGACATCTCATGATCACCTGTTCTTCTCTCTATGGTTCACGCATCATTTTGCGCGACACCAGCACTCGTGCGCACTGGGGTCGAAATGGAAACACAAAATCCAAGCCGCAATCTACATTTATATCGACATCGTATGATACCTGTTCTCTCTATAGCTCATGCATCATCAGTTGTACGCACTGGAGTCAATGATAAACACGGAGGGATGGAGATATGGGATCCAAGCCGAATACAGTATAGTTCGAACACCTTTCGTCCACCTTTCTTCATGCTCACGGCGATGTTCTGACGACTCGCCTCGACTGACGACAGAAAACTAGATGTCAAATATCTAGTCAAAGCGAAATTTTGTATGGCATTTTACTATAGCGCCTATCAAAGTTCTTATCATGACTGAACGATCGGATGTATGTGTACTTATCGCGTACAAAATTGATCAGTCTTTATTCTCACTCAACTACCCTTTCATCCTCCAGCACAATTGTCAGTCTCCGCGACGTATCCGAAAATTCAAGAACGTGAATTCCTCAATCGACCGGGACATACCCTCAGGGACGTCCATCTCTTGAATACGAAATAAATGTTAATAGAGATGAGAAAAGTACTTGAGTTTTGCAAACGTTGGGAAACAATTGATACGATCAACTAAGAATACCTTCATGAGAAGATCGGATAAGTCGACGAGAGATTATATGGAGAGATAATACTGGAACAGGTCAAGTGATGATTGACGAAGAGAGTGGATCTTTTGCTGAATTGTGTTGTGTGGCGAGTAATCATGGGCGAAAAGGTGGAGGCGGTCGTGTGCTAGTCAACTGAGTGAGCCAAGAGTGTATGTAAATAAAATCAAGTGTGGGAAATAGAACGGGAACTCTGGATTGCAGTATCGGAATAATAAGACAATACCACAGAAAATGTACAAGAGAATGTAGTTATTGCATGCATAAATGGCATTCGGCGTCGTAAATTCTCCAACCGAATAAACATATTAGGCGCGTTATTGTCTTCTTACCTATATCTTGCATCGATGGCAGTGGAGTCAATTTAAATTCGCAGCGGACAGTCCCTGAGGAACAACAGGTATTACTTAACCGTGACTGCAGATGAGAAATCGAAACGGAAATTATTGTAACATTTGGAAAATGTTTGTATAATGAATTCTCCTATTTTCACTGATTGTCTGACACCCATTAACAATATCATTTCAGATGCTGACCGTACCTCTCCGTTTCATAACTTTTAGGACCAGAGGATTTTCTTGAATTCGCGCGATTTGTCTGCGTAGAATCGTAAAAACGCGAATAGCTACAATACGCATTATTCCGACCAGACCAACGTTCCAACGTTGAATGACACGTGGAATCGAAGAAGACCACAAGCGATGATGCAATGAAGTCTAGAAGATGATTATAGTCTTGAATAAGAGCCGTGGTAGGTTAAGACGTACGGGAATTTGGAATAGCAAGAGGAAAGGGAATAGGGTGAAAGCGATTGTTGAATATGTATATTCGTGTGAAGTTGCCCATGTTTCTTTGATACTGTCTAGACTGCCTGCACTTCAACGGAGTAACAAATCTTTATATTGAGTTTGATATTAACGTAAATGACGCAGTGTGGAGCTTCTTTAGTGGGTTTATTTTTCGTGAGTAAAAGATGGAGTTGGATTGTTAGGTGATGGCGGAATTAGGAATGGTAACCATATTAAGACAATCGTTAGTCGCTACATACTGTATCATTACATTGTTGCAAACGATTGTAGATTACGTATAGTCAGTGTCTGATGATATCATTAATGGATATCAGTAATAAAGCAAAACTCATAAATACCAATTTTATTTTCAGATATAACCGCATTTCAAATATTCCTTTTCCGATTTGTTAAGGCGTTAACATTAGCGACTTGTTTTACTGTAACAATACACGTTAATTAACAAGAGTACCAACCATTATCGTTTTCGCCTTCACCTCGCAGTAATGCGGACAATCACTAATATTCATTATCGGCTTTGAGCTTGAGAAAAAGGTATAATGATTAAAGCACGAATGTAAGATCCAACTAACGCTCAAATATTTTACCCTGTTTGTGTTACATACCCGGCATCTGACCGCAGTAGACAGTAATAATCGGCAATATCAAATTGTGAGTTAGAAAGGACTCGCGTTTCTCTTAAGAAATACTTTTATTGTCTCTACTATAATTTAGTTATCACTCAACCATTAACTAATACACACATATTTTTACACTCGACACCCCAAAAGTCAAGCACTCACGTGAACGGTTCATTTAATTATGGGTATTAGTATATTCATATTATATTTATGATGTACCACAACACAAGCATTGTTTGTCATTAAGATGCGACTAGTACTGTAGCAGAGGGGGACGACTGTATATGCCAAATATATAATCGTTATTGTCAGTATTTAATCACAGTTTAACCCTACAAGTACAATACAATTTGTAAATACAACAAACGTCAATTAATATTAACCAAAATCATAAACTGCTGCGTCTGGGCTATAAATGGTTTTTATTTATAAATCAGTGAGAAATTGATTTAGAATATGAGAATACCATACGGTGTCCTTACCATTACGGTTTGATTCAATTCGATGAATTTTTGGTGGTTAATTACTATTAATAAGGCCAAACAGTATTTGGGCCTCTATATAACGTTTTAGAACATCACACATAACTTGTTGTTTGTTACTGTTAAAGCAATTGATCGTGACTAACAATTAGCGATATTGTCAGCCATTGTTCATAATAATAATAATAATGTCTTTGCCGCATGCATTTACCATGATAAAGTGTTGGCCGATCTTAGGGAGGTGCTTTGAATGGTTTAGTCATGACACATGTACTTTATGTCATCGTGAATGCGTCACCCATTTCAATATTATGAAATCATAACATTTTTTCTTTGTGCATTGAAATGAACGTTAAATCGATTTACCTTTAAGTATCAAGAACATTGTTTTTATAATTAGCATATAAGGGTTGTTAATATGCCTAACAGCATTGTTCTTGTACGTAATGTGAAGCCTTTGTCTTCCACTATTTGGGTGACAAGAATAGGTTCGTCCCTTGACAGGGAAGCATAAGATCCTCGCTTATTAAAAATCTAATATACGACGATATGCAATCTCGAACCGAAACTATGCCACTCATGCGATATAGTAAATAAGGTCGCTTGTCTCACATAAATTGCTTCACATGTGTTGAACACCATTTGTTTACCTTTATCGATCACAACTGACTATTCGCGGAACCCCGACCGCATGCAATTTTTAACATAATAATAAGGATAAGTGTCTTTGACTAGGGCTAACTCTAGTTGAAATAAAGTGACACTAATAAAGTTGGGTTGTAAATGGTGTATGTCTTTAAATAGTAAGTCTCGCCTGAATCAAAATCCGAAAATCGCCTTTATCGATCGCTTATGGAGCGAGGCACAAGTCATTGATTTGAAACAAAATAATAATGCTTGCATATCTTGTTATCCTTTACATGAACCTATGCTCATGTGGGGGGTGGAATAGGAAACATATATCATTGATACTTACCCTACAATAAAGATTTGCGCCGTATGAAGAAAAGTCGTACAAATGAGTGTCAATATTATTTAATTATTATTATTAAGCATTCACTTATTATTATTCAGTTATTCGTTAATTGATAAGCACATCCGTCACGATCATGCACTGGGCATAATCTCATAATGTCTCGAGATCGGAGTTCTAATTCGGAGTTACATTGTTATTATCGAGAAACGAGTCTTTCCACAAAGACGGCTTATTGTGGAAATGGCTATGTGGGCGGGTTATATGATTGATCTAAAGATTGGAATGGAAATAGTTGGGGAATACTGTATGATAAGATTAATTATTAGGTAATTTTATTAACTAAAGCGCTTGTTGTTGTTTCATAAATGTAGTGACCTTCAAAGAGGCTTTCAATGACAAATTTATTTTGGCATAGCTTAAATGTATACGACTCCTCGGGCTCTAACGGAACATTGATATTGTAGTCTTTGTTAAAGATAATACGCAAGTCCCGCCATCTCCCCCTACACTCCCTGGACTAAAGTATCCAATGGGAGTTTTTTCGAGTTTATGCAAATCAAGTATAATAATTATACAAAGTTTTTATATCATTTCGTAGCTTAGCTTTTCACGAATCTGCGTGTGAATTTGAAGTGTTTAGCTTTCTTATACAATGAATTATCAAACAAAAGGCAATTGCGATTAAAATCATTTTCGGCTCTAAACATTTACACTCCCTGGGCTAAAGTATCCGATGGGAGTTTTTTAAAGTTTATGCAACATCCAGTATAACTATTATATACAGTAACGTGCAAAAGTATCCTACCGGTTGTATCATCTAAACGTACATAATAATAACTCCTTAAATTTT